CTACATCAACTAGGTGTGAAAAAACTGAAAGTCGCTTCAAACATGCTACTGAAATTACTATTATGGTACATTAAGCTTTTGTTGGGTGGGAAACTTAGAAGATTTAAAGAAGGCAAAGCACAAAATTCTTTTTTCTTTTCAGGACTCTACTATCTTAAAACGTTATTTTTATAAGGAGTTAGGAAAGTTTGGGGATAGAATAAAAAATACAGAAACTGTTCTGTTCACTGCTGTGATCTCAGACTAGGACTGTGCCTGAAACATAAAAAGTCAAACAATGAGTCAGTGAATAAATCAAAGAATTAGTGAATGGTTTTGTCTAAAGAATAAATTTATATTCTACCTAGATTAATGCTATTTCAGAGACCTTCCACAGACATACTTTCACTCATACATTTGGGGATCCAGTTCAGAAGATTCTCTGATGAACAGCCGAATTATTCCACGGGTAAAAATGACCAGTTGGGTAGAGCCCCATATAAATGCACTAATGGCTCAATGAATCAGCTTCAATCAACTTCAAAACACTCCAACAGTAGCCTGAAAAATGTGGAGCTGACACCTCGTGGCTATCTATCTATCTATCTATCTATCTATCTATCTATCTATCTATCTATCTTACCTGTTTGTCTATCTGTTATCTTTCAAGGCTGAATGGTGGTCTGACTTTATAACAATATTAAACCTCAACTCATCAACTCCCTTATACTTTTGGACACACATGCAGCTAGTGATCCCCATATCCTGACTCTGAACCTTGAAAATGTCAGCACAGGGGGTAACAATGCTCAATAGGAAATGTTCTCATTATCTTACTCATATAGCTGTAAACTCCTCTGTACAGTATCTTTACAATAAAAATATATATATAAAAGAAAATGTCAGCACAGTCTTATCCTTAGAGTCCAAGTTTGACTGTTAGCTTGGAAGTGGGATTCCTGGAAGTGGAATTTTGAGGTGATTGCCAAAAAAATTTAACAAATGATGGTCTAACAAGCAGAGGATGGCTGGGAAAAGGGGATTGAGAGCAGATGGAAACAAGGACTTTCTAGAGAGGAGGAGATAAATGAAGTCACCTGGGATGGGTAGAGAAGATCTGTCAGGATTATCAGGGCCAATAATGAAAGTCAGTATGGCCACAATCACTGGCTGGACTTCCTGCCATCTCAGCCTCCCCCTCCTCCCACTATGCGTGTCTGAAAAGAAA